GTTGCGGGCGCCCTGGGCGGGGGCTGGGGGGAGGTTCCCCGCGGGAAAGGACAGAGCTTTGCGGGGCTGAAGGGTAAGTCGTGGGTTCTGGGTGTATTGCTGGTTGGTCGTAGAACCCGCAGAGCGGATAGGATGTACTTCACCGGCATTTGTGGACACTTCCTTTTGTGATCTGGTTACCACGAAGTTTTGCATGTGTTTCAATAAACTTGAAAAACGTCATAGTCTCCTAATTTTGGAGCAAATCTGAACAGTAAAATTACGAAACCATAGAATTACCAGTTTTTCCATGTAGGTCTCAGGTTTTGCTCTATGTATTTTGAACTTTTTAGTTGCATATGAATTCGCACTTGTGATCTCTTCTTAATGGATACTTACTTTTTCCTTTTATTCTTGATCCTTTTTATTCCTCCTCTCCTGACTTCTGGTGGATGGGTAAAAGTGTTCTGGTTTTTTGTTTTTTTTTTTCTTCTTTTGCTTATTTGGAACTGATGGCATATATTTCTATTATATTACGGGTTACTCATATGTTTAGCATACATTCTTTTTTCTTTTTCTTTTTTTTAGAGACTGGGTCTGTATCCCGTGCTAGAATGCAGTGCCACAATTATAGCTCAGTGCACCCTAGAATTCCTGGGCTCAAGCAATCCTCCCATCTCAGCCTCCTGAGTAGCCAGAACTATAGGCATGTGCCCCCAGGCCTGGCCTTTTTTTTTTATTTTTATTTTTTTTAAGTAGGGGAGCCTCTCTATGTTGTTACCCAGGCTAGTCTCAAACTCCTGGCCTCAAGCAATGTGCTGGCCTCTCAAAGCACTGGGATTACAGGCACAAGCCACCACACCCAGCCAACACACATTCTTAAGTATATATAATCCTAACGAAGCCTGAGTGAATTCAGTTTTGTTTTGAATTCTGTGTATGACTAGGATCTTCACATGCCTTACCACCCAGTGAGCACCAGTCTCTCCATCTTATTATTGTTCCATGGAGTTTTAGCTTTACTGTTAAAAACACACATGAAAAAACATTTTCAGTCATCTGTTCATCAAATTTATTTGTGTATTTTAACTTCTGTGGTTAAAGTAATTTCTTATGTATTGCCTTCCCTGAGGTTTTTTTTTTCTTGCTGAAGTATATCCTTTAATAATTCTTTCAGGCTGGGCGCGGTGGCTCACGCCTGTAATCCCAGCACTTTGGGAGGCCGAGGTGGGCGGATCACAAGGTCAGGAGATCGAGACCATCCTGGCTAACATGGTAAAACCCCCATCTCCACTAAAAATACAAAAAATTAGCCGGGCGTGGTGACGGGT